CCCAATCAGACGGGCTATGCGCCACACGGGCCAGAGATTCGTGTCATCTTATCAAACTGCGTACATCGTATGCGTTGAGTAGGGTGTTGGTGCACAATCTCATCATCTAAATATTATTTTGATTGCTTTATGATACATCGACTCTAAAGGATATCTTAGCAATCTACGTTTTATAGGCATTGATTGGCAGTTAATCATGAAATCGTGAGCCTTAAATAGTAAATGGTTACTTCGACGAATAAGACTTTGTAAGCAGTAATTATTATTTAAATGCTCCTTTGGGAAACCTTAGGAAAAGAACACTGTCATTCATATTATTCTTTTTCTTATCCTAATTATATTTGGGAGCAAAAGACTGAGCAAAGGTATCATATAGAGTTCATGTACATTTACAGGTATACAGTATGTGTCTGCATTGGTAACTGAATTTTGTTGGACATTATTTCAAAATAAGCTATGAAAAACGGTGTAATTTTTCACACATTTTTTTCAAATGGTTGTTAATTGAAGTTGGAAAATCAAATGTGATTGCAAAGTCCACTCAGCGTGAGAGGTGTACGTCATATTAGTGTTCAGCAAAACCAATAATTCATGCTTCCTTAAGTGTGTGTTCAATCTGTCTCTCCCTACCGTTAACTACACGGTACTTACATATGCTGGAACTGTCAGAAATTTCCCTTTGTGTTTGTTTGCTTGATTAAGGAGTCCCGTGGTCTGCTTTCCTGCAAAGATACCATGACGAAAAAACGTTACCAACAACCTGCTTTCAAATAACACATCTAACAACAAGCATTGTTTTCATGCACTGATGTTCTCTTGTCCGAACGCTTGAAGACAGTAACAAGAAAACCATAACTGACGTAATACGATATAATCATAACATTAATGTTTTTGACGTTTGTTTAATATGTTACCAAGTTTCTTTTCCTTTCAAAAGAGCCAAATCAAACCAAGGTGAAAGTTATACACTCAGAAGCAAGTATTGGACACTGAAGTTATTTTTAAATGATACAGATGAACTTGTCTACCTGTTGCTAAGTTATAGTACCGAGTGAAAACTTGGCACTTGATCAATTCTATACCCACTGAGATTCGGAATTTATCGTAAGTGATACTCTTTTGAACGCCACAATTTTCAAGAAAAATTAAGTTATCAGAAACGATCCCGCTGACATACAGACACGCTCACGTAAACAGACACAAACAGACAAGTGGATGTAGACATAAGACGCATTGATGAGCACATTAAAGAAGAAAACGATAACCAACCCCAGCGTTCCTCGGATATCGACTGGCTGTGCTCGGGTATTGGCTCCATGTTCTAAGTCCAAAAGAGAGTAACCGGTGATTTAAAGTTCACAGCGAAACCGCTCAATGAACGCTCTCTGTCTGTCTGCTTGGAGGTTTGTAGACAAGTTAAAAACCACTACCTTTTTACTACCGCTTGATCAGTTTGTTTAAATACTTAATGCAGTTTTGGATCGATGCTGTTCATTTCAGCGCCGAATGCATAAACAGTAGGCCCTACTTGGATCGCACAAGAACAAGCTCCATCGGAGTTAACAATTCGATTCTTTTAAGTGTAGTGCATTTTGATAGAATATAAAGTTTTCAGTTACTGATATTACATCAAAGTGTTTTGTAGTGTTAGAAAATATACCCTTTCCTGGCTTTGACAAAAATCATTAGAATTTGTGTCTTATATTGTGCTGTTTGCTCTCTACTTAAAAAACATGACTCAATAGTGGACTTTTAAACACAGCAGATTGTTATTTCAATACTTTAAAGTTTTAATTAAAACAATGGGGGGCACAAAACGTAAAATACAAATGTACGGTCTCTTAATTCCATCGCCTGAGTAATGCACACGTAACCAGAAATGAGCATCGTGTAACCTATTTGTTTTATGTCAATTTCCAGTTATCAGAAGAGTAGCGTTAAGTCAGCTTAAATAGCAAGTTAAAGGTAATGTTCTGATGTCGAGGCGTGGTACAAGGTGATACTATCGATTGGAGGTTTCACTATGCTCACGTGTATCATGTAACAAAAGGCCGAGTTGTTTCACTTTATATTTCAGAATCAATACAAGCCATTAAAGTCCGTTTCCAAGATAGAGAATTTTTGTTTTCGTAAATCAAATCGGTAAAAAAACTGACAGTAGTACCTTATTCATTTCCTGTTTTGATTTCTCTCTAAAATTTTTTTAATCAATTTTTTCACATAGTGGATGACATTGCTGTCCCTGGAAAATACCTTGTTATTAACGACCGCAAAACTGTATAAATGAAACGCAAAAGCAATTGCAAAATGTCATTGGTAACAGTGTACATTGCACATATTGGGCCAAGGACGGTTTTGCTTTCCAGAACCAGAACGTCCGCTTAGGTCAGGCAGTCGTTTCTTTCAGCAACAAAAGTTATGCACGGGCGTTATCGGTAAGGTCAGAATTTTGATGTTAGTGTCTCTGTCAGTTTTAGTATAACACTGAGCTTTCTGAAAGGTATTAATTTGATAAACTATGTCCACGCATTGAGAGAAAATTGTTAGAACATATATTCTTTGGAACATTAACAAAAGATACAAAAGTTTGTGGAAAACATAGTTTACTTTGCCGTAATTAAAGACTATTGCAATTAAAACAATTTATGAAATTCTGAATCGGTTGACCATCCATATATAGAGGCAAAATTTAAACAAGGCGTTGACACGATGTAAAAACTATGTAGAAAAGGTGTTAACAAGTTGCGCAACATTCGTGTCACACTGACACTTTACTGAATTCTGGCCTCCTCCAGCGTAATAGATTTTCTGCACAGGCTCCCCACAAGGCACGGAGTACGCAGCATTTAGTTCAAGTCAAATCAAAATGCTTTGAATAACATCAGCTTTTCCAGCATGAGTAGATCTGTTGTCTATAACACGATTTTAAGAGCGAAATAAAACGAAAGATTCTCATTTATCAGAAATGTGTATGCTGCCCAGAACTTACAACCATTTGACTTCCCCTTTGTGGGCAAACGCTTTTAAGCGTTAAGCTTTTTAGCAACTTGATAACTTGCATAGATCGACTAGAATAGCTGCTGAAATACTGAGTCAAAAATATATATTTCTCATCGGCTGTTCCTCTATTCCAAAATGCCTCTGCCGTGATTCTTATAGTATTCTTATACGTCTCTGTGTCTTCATATTGTCAAAAAGTAAAACGGCACTTTCAACATCAATCAATTAAAGAGAAAGGCGGCTCAAATCCAAAAAGTAATAAGAGGAAGAGACATTTCCTAATTGTATCAAATTTTACAAAAACCAACCACCCTTTTCGCGGTCAATACCCTAGATTTTATCGATTCAAAAAAGTCATTCAAAGTATTCACCTAGACATTGGTGGAGTATCCCCCACAAGGCCCCCTTTCCATTAATTGTTGTAATAGAACTTGACACTGATACTGCTGATAAATGGTGGAGGTGGTGGTGTCATCACCCCGAGACGTCTTGCATGAATGATGTTCAGCTGGGTTGAAAACAGTTGGAAGTGTGGAAAATATCTGTAGAACTGCCCATTTATTTGGTTATCGACGCACTTTTTAATTGGAGGATTTTCTTCCACCGTCCCTCTTTCCCTCTAAACATCCAGGCCAAGACGTGATACCCCGGCCATTCAAGTACGCCATCACCAACCACTAACAGCCAGCCATTACCAGTAAATCGATCAGCACAGCAACGACCGCTGCAATTTATGCTTCTGTATAACCTTTAGTTCGACTTTTACAAAAAGGGCGAACACAGTACTTTAAGACAGTGCCTGTAATATTAAAAAAAACAAGTTTTATATTAACAGTATAATCAACGCTGGGACAGCAAAGGCCAATAAACCCAAACTTGTCTGATGGACTTGATATGCACTGGTTAAACAGATTTTCAGGACCTGAATTTATCGCTTTTAATGTTATCTTGTTCATCTTTTTATATGATTTAAATTCTTGGCAGACTTTTCCGTGCCCACGTGACAAGCGCCAGACCAGATGACCACATCGAACTAAAACAGTTTTAGACGGTTTTAAACGGTACTGCATCCTTCAACGCAGTGTGATTCCACTGCTGTCACTTTATACCGACTGTTTCCGCTACCAGTTCATCACAATTACCACTTCCAAGCCATCCGGTCATTGCAACATCCACGGGAGGAAATACTCTGCGTCAGAACGGAAATAAAATACATGAGATTCGCACTGAGGACCCTGGTAATGTCAATGATGATCGAATATCGAACTTTATGGCTTTGGCTTCTTCTAGGAATCAAACGCATTTACATGTGAGATCAAAACATTTTCAAGAAACTCCTATCACGTTTTAATTGAATAAGTAAAACTTTAAAAGGTTTTTGGTTGCAAAATTCCATCTAATCCTAGCTAGAAACGTTTGTTTGTTAGAGAGTGTTAATCTACTGAAAATGTGCATTTATGCGACCGTGTGTGATTTATAAGCAGTATAAAAAAGACACAAAAAATAAGACACGTCGGTCCCAAATACAGCTGTACATACATACATATTTCCACAAATAACTGAAAGTTCACTATGTTATACGATGCACTGTTCCCATTATATTTGGCGATGGGGCACGCACACGTAAATGTACACATGTGCAGGTAATGCATATTCCTGACTTTATCACTGTTACTGATGCATCAGATCGTGGTCAATAATCCAGTAACTACTGGTAAACATATACATATAGTCCGGTTGCTTAGGGCAAAAAAATGGCCAAATCGTGACACGGCGGATAAAAGCACCAAATTTTGCATGTGGGTACCTTTTGACATATTAAATCAAATTAGAGCCGTAGCCCACGGAAAAAAAATACCGTTTGGCCAAAAAATCCAAAATGGCCGCCAATTCATAGGATTCTTTGTAAATACACATATCTCATATAAATCTTCACAAAATAACCTTACTTTGGCAGGTGTAATAACTGTTTAGCCTGGATGCTTATTCCTTGACCCTAAAGCTTCACTTAGGTCAAGGTCAAGGTCAAATTTAAGGTCAAAAGCTTGTATTTGACTAATATAAGGGAGAAAATGACCTGTATATCTGTGATTTTTCCTCTAACCAAGGGACTTATGATGAACTTACAAAAAATGTGTTTGTATGGCACTGTAATTATCTATACTGCTGTTAAACATACATTGATTGCAGTCAATTATGACCAGATGTGCTGTAATGTGTTAGGTGAGATTGCGTTATTTTTGCTGGTGCTGGCACCTATACTACAAACATCTGACAGGAAAGATGAATGCACATGACAGAATGCTGCTCATAGCAAGGTAAGGATTTATAATCAGTGCTGCATTTTTCATTGTAAGACTTCCATTATTTGGTTTGTATACATTTTACCCTAGTACAGAGACAAATCTATGGAAATGCCAATATATCTTTTATCAAAAATAATCATGACACATTCTAGGAACAGCAGGGGCTTACCAGTCATTCCTGTATAACCCCTCCATTCTGTAACAAAAGACAGGCATCCCTGAAGACGGTGAGAAGACTTATTAGATTGAATATCTTGCTTTATTTAAACCAAAGCTATCACATTTTAAGATTAAACAGTCCAACCAATGTGATAGTAAGCAATCATTTCACATGAAAATTCAGTGAATGGGATCATCATTAACCAATTTTTTGAAAGATCATACCTTCTCAAATATATAAGGTAATTGTCTCTTTG